ACAGACAGAATAGGTAAAAAACAAAACATATTAACTGTCAGACAGACAGACAGACAGACAGACGGACATAGGTGAAAAAAAGTTAATCTTTCTCTTAACACGTTTTATTCAATGACTGGTAGACACATACATATTTATCTTGGTAAAAACAAAACATATTTACTGTCAGACAGACAGACAGACATAACACACAGCTTAAAGCAGTTATCAGCGGAGTTTCAAAAGTTTTTTTTTTTTTTTTTTTTCAACTATTATGAGCTGTTTTCCATGTTTCTTTAACACCATGGCTAAGTGAGCCAGAGCTGTGTAGTAGTGGACCTCCCATTCAAGCTTTTCACCCGGATTCAAGTCATCACTGTCAATCATTCCCAAACCATAAGGAATTTTAACGCGCTTGATTGAATTATGACGCTTAGTCATGCTTAAAATTTGATTAATGCATAGTTTAAAGCTCCATCGTCTCTTGATCTTAGTATCGTTGCGGAGTCCCTCCATTATACAATCTCTATCCTCCCCACACTGCTCTAATAGAATTTTTTGGTTAACAGCATTATTTTCTATTGGTGGTCCTGCGCTATATCTGGTCACAATAGCTATAACATGTGGTAGACTTTCTGGTGAGGGGGAAGGAGAAAAGACAGCTCCTCCCACTTTAACGCGATCAGCCACCACCACATAGTTAGTTAATGGTTGGATCGCTCGCTGTAGTCGTGTATAAGGATACATTTCCCAGATCTCGCAAGACATTCCTCCTGAATGGGTGTGAATTGAAGGAATATCATACACTATACAGTCACCAGGATGGATCTCATCCATTGCCAGATAATCACCTTCTACTTTGCAGTCTTTAAGACTGGTTAGTTTATGGAGCATGTACCTTGAACACATCTTGACAGTTATTAAACGCAAGTTTGCGGATGTAAGAATTATATACAGTATAGAGTTATCAGTTACTCTTTTCATTCCTCTATCACATCTATAAACACACTCAACTGTTTGTTAAAGCGGGAAGATAAACACAGAGTATAATATTATTTTTTTATTATTATTAATTGCAAGCATGGAAAATGGTAACAATAGTAAATAAATAAAGTCAATAGTTTATATATATATATATATATATATATATATATATATATATATATATATATATATATATATATATATATATATATATATATATATATTTCTAGTCAACTGTTAAATCTATCACTTCGATGTCTCCTGTGAGATCTATTATAGGCACGGCTTTGCAATGAGGTTTTGTAGTTTCACCTCCAGCTTCATCTGCGTTCAAGTTGTTGTTCTTCATCCGATGATAAGCAGAGGCAACTCCTTCACTTAACTTATGTGTAAGCACACCGTGTGTAGGCAATGCTACAGGGATTGCATTGCTTGCAGAGTCAACCATCACAAATTTCAACCCGCGACGATGATAATACCGCTCCAACTTCATCATTATGGGTAGATATTTCTGCCTCCACACTTCTTGATTGTAGCTCTTCCAGTACTGACCACAGCCCATCCCAAGTCCAAAAGGGAAAATTATGCGGTTAATTTTATATTCTTCTTCTCTTGTTAAGATGATTGCAAAGGCCTTACGCAGAGATTTTGTAAACCAATAGCGACGCATTTCTTCTGTATCCAACTGTAAGCCTCTGTAGTAGTGCGGGTCGACAGCATATAACGTCTCGATTTCCTTCATCGTCATGTTCAGGGGTTTAGATGATTTCCCTCCGGTGTGATGAGTTATTAATCCGATGAGATGAGGTAGATGCGGGTCATCACCAATTCGATTGTTGAATTGAGGGGGTTCACCATAGACAATCTCTCCAGGCAGGGCTCGGTCTCTTCTCTCTGCACGATTTTTGTAGGGTAGTTTGCTCCGATGAATGCGAGCATAGGGAAAACGAGTCCATAATTCTTCAACCACCCCACTTGTCATCACACTACAGGCGTCCATATCATAGATGATGCAGTCGGAGTAAGAGTACTCCGAAAAAGATGAAAGGCTGTCAGCTACTGTCGTCAACATCTTATCTGATGAGTAGAGTAGAGGAAGTGAGTCGGAGAGGGGAGAGCAGCCGCCCCTTTATACGGTCGTGCGAAGGTTACTGGGTTTCCTGTTTTGTTTCGTTCCTGTTTCCTTGGGGCGAACTAAAATCACTTTGACGTTATAAGGGTTTAATCTCCCCTGCATATTTTGAATAATGGGGAGGTGAGTACTTTCCCACTCTGCATCTTCACACCGACCTGACATACCTACACCCCAGGGAAGAATAACTTTCATGATCTCCTCGGTATCTTCAATATACAATAAGAGTTCTTCTAATGATTTCGTCAAGTATAACAAGCGGTTTTCTTTCGTATCAGCACGCAACTCTTTAACCATAGAGTAATCTTTTGATTTACCGGCAATGGCTTGAGCAATATCATTCCTCTCAATAGGCTTCCCTAATCCATACTGCGTTGCCAGGGCTACTAAGCTTGGTCCTTGACTGTCTCTGCTGATGTGAATGGATCCAGGTGTTGGACGGTCTTCTCTGATGCATCTCTTAAGATTATACAATTGCGTTCTGGCGTAAGCGGTGGCATGAGAATATTTATCAGCAATGTCCTGGGACATGCCGTAGGGGGAGCATGATATACAATTTACAGAGTAGACAATGCAACACTCTCGATTGTTAAACTCCTCATCCGTCATGTATCCGTGATGAATTTCTACAGAGTTCATTTTGGCTATGGAGTTCATTTTTTTTTTTCCCCCAACGCGCTATAGATGAAACACAGGGGAGCGATGAGTGGGCAGTAATGAATTAGTGTGATCTACTCACCCCCTTTTATCCTCGTCGTGTGTGACGCGTGTGCGCGCAGGCTCCCGGGATAGTTTCCAATTAATGATTAACCATACTCCATAGTTTCATATTTTATATTATTATTTATTATTATTATTTAATAAACGTGGATTATAGTCCATTCTAGCAGTAAGATCTGTGTAATACTATATTCTCAACAATGAGGTTTTATATTAACTTCGCACCAAGCTATGATTTTTTTCTAAGTTGTGGAGAGCTTGGTATATCCCTTCACTATAGAAATTAATCTAAGGTGTAGCATATATATATATATATATATATATATATATATATATATATATATATATATATATATATATATATATATATATATATATATATATATATATATATATATATATATATATATATATATATATATATATAGGTATATATATATATATATATATATATAAGAAAAAAATATAGTATATATATTCATAAAAACTATTCCCAATAAACATAGACCCGATATATATATATATATATATATATATATATATAAATATATATATATATATATATATATATATAGATATATATATATATATATATATGCACTACTCCCAACCAAACATAGACCCGATAATATTCTACAAAAACAAGAAGACTTCCAAACTCCTTATCAAAACAGTTCCGAAGGAGAACCCTCTACAGCAGTCAATCGTTGCATACTTGTACACTTGCCCCCATGAAGGATGCAACCTTCAATCTAAGTACATAGGTAAGACACCAACCAACCAAGCTGTGGAGGTGATTATCCCATAATCTTCAATCCCCGCCCCCCCAGGAATCACATGAGACAGGCTCTTGTCATCACTCTAACAAGAGAAATGTTGAACAAGAATAACTGCATAATAGACAAAACCATGGATGTAAGAAGATTGTGAATTCTTGAGACAGTTCGCATAAGAATAGTTCAACTTACAATGATCACCCAAATCATGGAGGTGATTACTCTACTCACCGTGAGAGTAAGGTCGAGACTCGAACATAACACCACCGTCACAGAAGACAATATCCAACGATATATATATATATATATATATATATATATATATATATATATATATATATATATATATATATATATATATATATATATATATATATTATCCCCAAAAAAAAAACTACTCCCTCGAGCGGTGTTTAGTGCGAGTGCAAACTTTAATCCGCTACTGGATAGAACAGATTAGATTTTTTTTTTTTTTTTTTTTTTCAATCCGTGCGATGCCAGCTATTTCATCTTTCCCAATACCTCTGCTTAAACTAATTGGGTTTACCATTAAGCTTATACATAGATTTCTCAATGAATATGTAGCGATATGCGTCACCCCATTCTCGAGGATAAATAGCCCGGAAACGGTCAAACCTTTACCACAATTTTGAGTGTTCGACCCAGCATGGATGTCTTTCGCAGCAAAACTTTCCGAAGCATGGAACGTTTGCGTTGTGAGCAGATGAGGTTAGACACCTTTGTGGGATGGCGTGTTGACTGGCTTTTGCCCCCGGATTTAGCCAGTGATGGATTCTACTTCACCAAATCCGTGGATTACTGCATATGCAGTTTCTGTTACGCCTTAATTGGAGGATGGGTGGAGGGGGAGGACACCCCCCGCAGTCGTCATGTAACTGCAGCTCCACACTGTCCTTTCATCACCGGTAAACGTACTGAAAATGTCAGCATTGCGCTAAGCAACATGGTCTACGCCTATGGATTGAATTTCACCTATTCCGTCCTGCAACTGGAAAGAGATGGAAATTCAGCCAACAGTTGTAAGTATCCATCACAATTATGTGTTATCTCATAGTCGCTGTGAATAACGTTGCTTGTATAGTCATTGTGAATAGCTTGATAATAAGATTGTGTGTGTGTGTGTGTGTGTGTGTGTGTGTGTGTGTGTGTGTGTGTGTGTGTGTGTAGGAACGGTATGCGTGTATATATATGTATGTATATATATATACGGTATATATATATATATATATATATATATATATATATATATATATATATATATATATATATATATATATATATATATATATTATTATATTATTATTATTATTTTAATAATTGTAGGTACTGTGGAATGGAGTGAGGAAAACTCTGGAATTCTACCATTCTCTATGCCCATTTACCCAGAGATGGCAGGGTATAAGTCTCGGTTGGCATCATTCGGCATCATCTGGCCTGATATGTGCGGTCAGTCTCCGGCAGAATTATCTCGAGCTGGCTTTTTCTCTTGTGGTAAGTATTGGAAGATATTATTATTATTATTATTATTATTATTATTATTATTATTATTATTATTATTATTATTATTATCTTAATGTAATCACACAAACCCATTCTGTTTGAGACGTGCTAGTATTTACTTTCACATTTATTTACTTTTTGAGACGTGCTAGTATATATATATATATATATATATATATATATATATATATATATATATATATATATATATATATATATATATATATATGAACGCACTTCTAGGCCTACTATGCAAGCCCCGATTTGCCTAATAAGCCAAGTTTTCATGAATTAATTGCTTTCTCAACGACCTAACATAGGAAGTGATAGCCGAAATTTGACCCATTTCCCGCCGGCACTATGGTAATCTTGGGCATAATTTTTTTTTATCACCTCAGTTTTGGGGCACACGTAGGAACACAGGACACGTGTGCCCCAAAGAATACGTAATTTGAACCTAAAATGCTATCTTTAAGATTACCATCCAGGTGCCGGCGGGGAAAAAGTTCAAATAGCTTCGGCTATCACTTCCTAATGTCCGGTCGTGATGGTCAAGCGGATTAATTCCCTGAAAACTTGGCGTTATTAGGCAAATGGGGCCTTGCATAGTAGGCTGAGTTTTCAGTGCGTTCTGGCTACTAGGCTACGACATATATATATATATATATATATATATATATATATATATATATATATATATATATATATATATATATATATATATATATATATATATTCTTTTTTCTTAGGAGTTGGAGACCATATACGATGCTTTTATTGCGGTGGTGGACTTGTCAACTTCACACCTTCAGACGACCCCTGGACTCTCCACGCTCGGTACTACCCACGCTGTGTATACTTAAACTTGAAGAAAGATCGTGCCTTCATTAAAAATGCGGTTCCTTTCTCGCCTCCTCAACCGACAGTGGCAGTCGATGAAACATTGATAAATGCGCTCCTGCACGGTCTCGATTATTACAATGGACTCGCCGCTACTGTAGGATTTCCTTACATCGCCCTGCGAGGTGCACTAAGAGAATACCTCAAGATTAAAAAGGATGTATTACCTCTCCTTAGCGAATCTAACTGTGTAGAGGTTATGTTGTGGTTTTTAGATGGCGTGGGTGAAAGTGAGGACACAGGTGCAGTAACTGAATCTCCCTTAGAAGTATTATCATCCCAAGGTGTTATTTTCCCCCGCCCAGTTCCCCCTGTAGTGGAGGTAGATGAAGGAGAGGAAGAGAATGCAGTGCATGGTGCAGCTAGGTTTTATTGTAAGATATGTTTCACTCAAGAAATAAACACGGTTCTCATTCCGTGTAGGCATATGGTTGTATGTTTGGATTGTGTAACACGATGTGATAAATGTCCTGTATGTCGTGGAGATATAGCACATCTACTTCTTCCAATCATCTCTTAATAAAAACAAATCCAAAGTTGTTTCTTTTATATTATCCTTATGTATTATTATTATTATTATTATTATTATTATTTATTATTATTATTAAGGCTGAGGGAGTTGGAGGTGTGTGGTAAGGAGGCACCCTCGTGAACGGGGGGTATATAGCTCACCCTTGACCTGTCAGGGCAAACACTCCGTCACCAACCCACCCACCCACCCACCAATCCAAGATGACCGCGCGTGCCTCTGGTGCCTCCAACGGTGTGGCCTCTCCTCACTCAGAGGGGGATGAGCGCTTAGGACAGGCTATTGCAATAATACGAGGTACGTTTCCCTTAAGTTGAGTCATATTGTGCTAAGATGCTTGTTGATGTTGTTTGCTAATGTTGATGTAAGAAATAATAACAATAATGTGAAGAGTGTGTGTGTGTGTGTGTGTGTGTGTGTGTGTGTGTGTGTGTGTGTGTGTGTGTGTGTGTGTGTGTGTGTGTGTGTGTGTGTGAGTGTGTGTGTGTGTGTGTGTGTTATGCTAGTAATGTTATGCTAGTAATGTAAACTTTTTTTTTTAGATTATCTGGAGAAAGCTGGCAGCAGCAGCAGCAGCAGCAGTGGGCCCACCAGATCCACCTCTGGTGGTAACATCTTTATATTCTTGGGAACCACCTACATACACACGAACACGGGGGAAGTGTCTGTGTCCTCTCCCCCTACTCCAGTCGACTACGGTGTCAACCTCCCCTCACACACTGGTGATGCCAGCCGTAGCGATCAGGTCGCGACAGGTGTCGCCACACGCCCCGCGCGTGTGTGTCTCCCTACTCACCCCACTACGCCCCCGGTTGGTGGAGATTGTGGTGATAGAAGTAGTAGTAGTAACACAATCCCTCATTGTGTACCAACCACTCCTACTGCCGATCAGAGGGGTGGTGAGGTAATATATTTTATGAACACCGTTGAAGAAGTGTTGTCCCCCAGCCTTTTAACTGGGGGGTGTGGAGTAAGTAGTGACCCTACTACTAGTAGTACTGCTAGGGATAATAGGACTGAAGAAGAAGAAGTAGTGGTGAGAATGAGTGGGGATATTTCACAGAGTGGTGAGTATCCAGATCTCATGACTATGAGCGGAGGTCTCGATGATTCGGTGTTTGCTGGTATTTCACTCTCAGAGGATAACCCCGCTACTCAAACCGAAAATGATCTGAATGTAGAAGCTTTACTGGGTGAGCGTATAATGCTTACAGACAGCCAGCAACGTGGATTGCTGACTGACTGATGTGAATCTTTTCCTCAACCCTCAACTTAGCCCACTCCAAGGTATGTCTACTAACCTTGACCCCGAACCCAGTGCTCGTCCCTCCTCCTCCACATCCCACAACTCTAAACTAAGTTTACACAAAGCCACATCTCGGGCTAGACCTCGTGATGAGTGTAGCACTATGTCTCAGACTGTGATAATAAGTAGTGATGATGAAAACTTTACTCCTCTACGAAGAATTCGAGTTGGAGACGATCTTAATAGATCCCGCTATATTGACACCACCACCAGTGATAGCGAGTGTGATAGTGAGGTTGAGCGTGAAATAATCGCTCCTCCCCCACCTAAACGACAGATTAAACGAAAGGATGTTCGTCTAACTATAGAAAAAAAAGCTAGCAAAAATCTAAAATCTAAGTCTAAAGCCAGCAAAAACTTTTTGAAACTCCGCTGATAAGTGCTTTAAGCTGTGTGATATGTCTCTGTCTGTCTGATAGTTAATATGTTTTGTTTTTTACCATGATAAATATGTATGTGTCTACCAGTCATTGAATAAAACGTGTTAAGAGAAAGATTAACTTTTTTTCACCTATGTCCGTCTGTCTGTCTGTCTGTCTGTCTGTCTGTCTGTCTGACAGTTAATATGTTTTGTTTTTACCAAGATAAATATGTATGTGTCTACCAGTCATTGAATAAAACGTGATAAGAGAAAGATTAACTTTTTTTCACCTATGTCTGTCTGTCTGTCTGTCTGTCTGTCTGTCTGTCTGTCTGTCTGTCTGTCTGTCTGTCTGTCTGTCTGTCTGTCTGTCTGTCTGACAGTTAATATGTTTTGTTTTTACCAAGATAAATATGTATGTGTCTACCAGTCATTGAATAAAACGTGATAAGAGAAAGATTAACTTTTTTTCACCTATTATGTTAACACGAGTCTCTGTTTTTTCTGTTGGATCGAACGATTACTAATGGTTGATGTTGCGTGTAAACTCGCGCTATGGATGGTGTTTACTCTGATAAACAGTTAGGCTGGAGAGGGGCTTGAACGGATATAATTATGTTCGATGATCTAAGACTGAGGAAATGGAGCTTGGTTAATGTCCAGATTAATTTTACTACGTTAGAAATAAAGCGATCTTAAATCTCAAGGTGATTTAGTTGGAAAATAAAGAACTTGTACAAAAAAATGAACTAAGCTGAGGGGGGCAAGAGTTGAAACTTGATAACTGAACCGGTTTTTATTTACTATGACTGAAAATGTAGTTGGTGTTCAAATCTCAGGAGAATTGGACTGATAGTAATAAATTTACAGGAGTGGACTTGGACAGAGGACAGGAGCTAGAGTTTTATAATTGTTTACATCATATTTACTATGAAATACAGAGGGTAGAAATTACAGTGAAATTGCTGGGTTATTTACAAATATACGAGAGAGAACTAAGTTGGGGGACGAGAGCTAGAGCTCAGTAACTGACTTGATATTATTTACGAACTTTGAAGTATGACTGCTTTAAATTTCAGGGAAAATTGATCTAGCGATTACTAACGATCTTGTACAAATGAACTAAGCCGGGGACAAGAGCTGAGGGTAGAAATTGCTGAAATTGTTTTATATACAGTATACGAAGAGAACTAAGACGAGAGCTAGAGCTCAGTAGACTTTATTAACTAACTTTGAAGTATGTCTGCTTTAAATTTCGGGAAAATTGATCTGTTACTAACGATCTTGTACAAATGAACTAAGCCGGGGACAAGAGCTAGAGTTGATACAATTTACTAAACTAGTCTGAAATACAGAGGGTAGAAATTTCAGGGAAATTGAATAGGTATTAACGAGATGTGTGAGGGAAGTAAGGTGGAGGACAAGAGCTGGAGCTCGGTAACTAAATTACTGTAGAACTATGTTTGAAATATGATTATTTTTTAATTTTAGAGGGATAGGACTGTTAGTATTCATTATAGGGCAGGGGAGAAGGCAGGATAGGAGCTGAAGCTCGATACCAAATTATTGTATTTTAATATGTTTGAAATAGCTGTGTTTTAAATCTCGAAGAAAATCATTGGATACTAGAGAAGATGTATTAGTAAAAACTACTCCCTGGCTTTGTTTATATATGTAAAACTGAAAGAGTTTTAGAAAGAGATGAGAGAGAGAGAGAGAGAGAGAGAGAGAGAGAGAGAGAGAGAGAGAGAGAGAGAGAGAGAGAGAGAGAGAGAGAGAGAGAGAGAGAGAGAGAGAGAGAGAGAGAGAGAGAGAGAGAGAGAGAGAGAAGAGAGAGAGAGAGAGAGAGAGAGAGAGAGACAGGGACAGAGACAGAGACAGACAGAGAGACAGATCGAGAATTTGGGCAAAGAACGAATGAGATATTCTCCACGTTAGATATTGGGTAAAGAACGAAGTTAGCATATTGGACCTTACAAGGATGTAAGGGTGAGAGTGAAGGCAGAGGTGATCATCCTCTGATGCGTTGTCAGAAGTGAGGAGAAAGAGTGAACAGCGGCAGCAGGAGAAAGGAAAATGATGTTACTTTCCCCAACTATTAAATGATCTGGAGAGAGAGAGAGAGAGAGACAGAGACAGAGATAGAGACAGAGCGAGAGATAGAGAGAGAGAGACATGGAGACAGAGAGACTGAGACAGATAGAGAGAGAGAGAGAGACAGGGAGACAGAGACAGATAGAGAGAGAGAGAGAGTCGCGGACCCTGGCGAAACGCAATGGTAATGGGTGCCCCACCACTTCCGGTGTCGTTGAAATACCCAGAGGGAAAGAACCAGTACCCAACCTGCGACTACGCTTGGAATTGAAAAACGTTTAGGTAATCACTCCCCTCCTGCAGGAGACTCGGTAGGGGACTCTAACCAACCCGCTGCAGACCGAGTACTTCTCTCTTTCTTGACCCGAACACGGAAAAAGCAGTCACCCAACCTGCGACCAGTACGCGTCGCGACATTGAAAAACGCTTAAGGTAATGGTACACTCCCCTCCTGCAGGAGACTTTGCCCTCATCCTCACACACTTAGCACTTCCTGTAGGGGACGTTAATGGTTTGTCTAACCACATAATGGCCCGCTGCAGTCTCACAACGAGAGTGACTTCCCTCTTTCTTGACCCGAACACACAGAAAAAGCCAGGTGCAGCCCCGTGTCTTTTCCATGCATTTCTTACAAACATCACTTAAGACCTTCCTGTAGGGGAGTCAATGGGTTTGTCTAACCACATAATGGCCCAGAGCACTCTCTCCCGACGAAGGGGAAACTCCATCCAGCTCCCATCCCAAAACAACATAACAGGCCGTGCTGCCTTCTCCTCTCATCTACACACTAACTCACGATCAACTCTTTTACTCCTTCCTACATCTTCCTTCTATTTTCTCACTCTATCACTTACTCTACCACTTACTCTCATCTTTCCTGAGCACTTACCTTAACCCCCGAGGACTGGAGCGACGCGCTCCAATTACCTCCGACACGCGCCATAACTTCCGGGAAATTCCCCTAACCCGCGAGGACTAGAGGGACGCGCGCCACCTGTCAGCTGCCCAACATGACCTCCCCTCTTTCCTGTCCACATACCCAAACACGCCAAAACTTCCGGGAAATTCCCCCAAAAGCCTATGTGACTAGACACCCGCGCGCCACCTGTCAGGTGAGAGCGTCCGAAACGCGCCAAACTTCCGGGAAAATCCCCCAAAACCCTGTGTGACTACGACGACGCGCGCGGCACCTGTCGGGTGGCACTCAAGAGTGCCACCTGGGGCAGCTGG